CTTTCTCTCTTTCTCTGTCTGTCTGTCTGTCTGTCTGTCTATCTGTCTGTCTGTCTGTCTGTCTGTCTGTCTGTCTGTCTGTCTGTCTGTCTGTCTCTCTCTGTCTCTCTGTCGCACGTGCTTTCTCTCTCTCTTTCTCTCTTTCTCGTTCCCCTTCTATTTCTCTGGTTCCCCCTCTTTCTCACCCCTTCTCCCTTTCTATCACTATCTTTTCATTCGTCTTTCCCTTCTCATTTTTCGCCTCAATCCCTATCTCTATCTCTCCCCCCCATCCCCTTCTCTGTCTGTCTGTCTGTCTGTCTGTCCGTCTGTCTGTCTGTCTGTCTGTCTGTCTGTCTGTCTGTCTGTCTGTCTGTCTGTCTGTCTGTCTCTCCCTCTCTTTGAATCAGTGTGTGTGAGGATGATGGCAGTACAAAGACACACACTACATGACGAGTGTTACACCTATGTTTGCCCCTTCCCTACACTCTGAATTCTATTTAAAAACGAAGTAAAAGAAAAACAATGGAATATTGTGAATAGCGGTGGAATTTAAGAACAATAGTAATAGTATAAAGTACAGTATCATGTGGCCCTTTGGGATCTTTGAAGGACAGTACAATTTTAGTTTTAAAAAAAAGAAATCCAGATAGTAAAATTGGCACAACGAAGGACAGAGAGAGAGAGAGAGAGAGAGAGAGAGAGAGAGAGAGAGAGAGAGAGAGACAGAGAGAGAGACAGAGAGAGAGAGAGAGAGAGAGAGAGAGAGAGAGGGGGGGGCGAGAGAGAGAGAGAGAGGGGGGGGGGCCGAGAGAGAGAGAGAGAGGAGAGAGACACAAAAGCGAGCAAAAATCACTATGTTACTGTTCACTAAAACTTGTTAATTCTGAATACCCAAACACCCACAGAAATTGTTGACAAACTGGGTTTCTTCTCAGTGTAAGCAAAATACAATACTACACCCTTGAGGTACACCGATTCATGATGGATGAAATCGTACCACGATTCGCATTGGTTTCGTCTGAACTTGCCACCATCTTCACAATTTGCCTTTAGTACAGAAATAGTTGAAAACTTAAACACTGCTCCAACGTAAGTGAAATCCCTTTTCAAAATAATGTAATGAAAGTAGGTCTCTTCTACAAAGTAAATAAATAAAGAGATAAGGATTTCTTCAATAAAGTAAATAGATAAAAACATTAACCATAAGCGAAACAGAGACAAAAGGACCTACTTATTCCATATGAAAATATTACCGTATTATAATTATGAATACATTATTGACAAGCTGTATCAGGAAGGATTGCAAAATTCAATAAATTAGAACTTTTCCATTACGTAAGAAAGCATTTCTTGAAAGATGAGAGAGAGAGAGAGATAGAGAGATATAAAGAGAGATAGAGAGATAGAGATAGAGAGAGAGAGAAAGAGGGAGAGAGAGAGAGAGAGAGGGAGGGAGGGAGGGAGGGAGGGAGAGAGAGAGAGAGAGAGAGAGAGAGAGAGAGAGAGAGAGTCACTTAATGCAGTTGGATCACCAAACGATGTACACTATATAGTACGAACCTAACACAGTTTATAAGAACATGTATCACAATGATAAGCAACATGATGTATCAGCTCATCGTGTGAAGTTTGCGACTTGTTTTCTGGTACCATGTAATTCAGACTTCAGACAACTACAACTATTTCCTAACATTATTCATAATAAATACTATATGCACACTCACACATACACACACACACACACACACACACACACATACACAAGTACACACACACACACTCACGCACACACACGCGCGCACACAGTCATTCTATATATGCATATACATATATATATATATATATATATATATATATATATATATATATATATATATATATATATCATATATATAATATATATGTAATATGCATACTTATTTAAGTTGTATAATGACGATGTTATGTTTATAAACGTATACTGTTAGGACTATCAATCATTATTATATGGCGATGGCAAGCAGATATACCGAAACGTCCACATGTACATTTTCAATGAGAAATACAAATTTCTAAAGTGAAACATGAACCCAGTTCTGTACAGTTAGAAGCCGTTAATAATTATAAAGTGAGACGATGTCATGGCAACAGCACTGTACAATTAGAAGCTGTAGATAAGATATGAAATGACACCACGATAACAGAACTGTACAGTTAGAAGATGTTGATAATATATGAGATGACTTCCCGACAATAGAAATGTACAGTTAGAAGCTATTGAGGATAACGTTATGAAATGACCTTATGGCAACAACACTGTACAGTAAGAAGCCGTAGATAAGGTAGGAGATGACGTCATAACAACTAGACACTTACTACACAATGCAACTTCCCACCGCTCACAGAAGCCTTATCTTACAGTAGACATATCACCTCGGTTGCTTGGGCAAGATAACTGACGGAACTATGATATATTTTTACGACACTAATCGAAACGACCGCCTTTCTCCAAAGGATTTCAAAGGACCGTCTCGAGTAACAGAAGAACATAATCATTAGTTTAATACATAAGCATTCCACACACAGTTTCCCTTAAAACAATATTACGAGAAAAAAAGAGAAGCCCATGCAGTTCATCATCTATATTGTTAGCGGTTTCGTAATAATAGTACGTACCAATGTGTGTTGTACTTAGAAGCCTATGTTGTAGCAATAAAAATGGTACACAAACTGAGAAATTGAACTGATAAGAACGCATGTTATCATGACATGAAGCTACTGCAAGTTCTGAGAAAATCAGGGCTAGATCTATTCAGAAATAAAAATACTTTCATAATAGAATACAATAGTTATTTATATACCGCAATATTATCCAACACAGCATATATACTATCTACATTAACAAAAGCATGACGCATCACCACATCAACAAATCTCACATTTTCTACAATAGGGTATACTACAATTCAAAATAAGTCAAACCAACATTAGAATGACAAGATGGAAATGACAGTTCCTTTCCGTATTTGTACATGTTTAATGTTTAACAGTGGCATTATGCAGGCCAGTACAGCAATGATACGATATTAAGGCAAAGGTAATATGAACAAAATGTTTTCAGCCAGTGACTCTATTGTACATTTTCTGCCACGCAGGAAGAAGCAGCAGACAGGTCCAAAGCAAAGTCGGACCTCATGTACTAGAATTATTGTCTCCAATGTACCATGAAACGGAAAGTGTTCTCGCCCCCCTCCCCCTCCCCCC